GTATTTGGCAATTTATGCCATTTTTCTGCGTTAAAAATATTTTATTTATTTATTTATTTTTAAATTAATAAATATTTTTTCATAGAGTGAGTCAGTTTTTAAAAGAACAGATTCGTTTTATTAATATGCAATTATTCCTTCGCTCGTAGATTTTGGAAGAATAAAAGAAATACAACGCAGTATTTTGGTGGAGAATTGTATTTCATCAACCAATAATAAATATTTAAAAAAAAAGTTTATTTTTCTAAAATCAAATGAACAAAAATACAATATTTATTTTTCTTAGGATATTTTTAAAAGTCTGCTTAAAGAATTTTTGCCAAATCACGCGGAGTAAATAATAGAAGAAGCACTTCAAGGTTTTTCTTTTTCCCAAGGAATAAAAGACTTAAATTTTAATAAATTTTAAATATAGCTATTCGAGTTAGTTTTGAAAACATTCTTTTTTTCGTAGATTCAGTTGGTTTTGAAATTATCTGATTTGTTTTATTATTAAGAATTATTCCTTTCAAAAACTCTTTGAAAAGGCCAATACCCATCCCGGGCTGTAAAGCCAATGAAGGAAAAAAAGTTATTCCTTTTATGTTTGTAGTTTTCGAAAGAAAAAAAAAACCGTTCTTACGTTTTTTTTTTTTTTTTTTTTTTTTTTTTTTTTTTTTTTTTTTTTTTTTTTTTTTTTTTNTTTTTCTTTTTTTTTTTCTTCTTGTGGATAAACAAATGGGACGACGCTTTGTCGATTATGTTTACAATTTATGATAAGAATAGTTGTTTAAAAAATATTTTTAAATTAAATCAAAATTAGTACACATTTTTATTTATTATTTTTATTTGTTATTTGTATTTATTATTTTTTTATTATCATTATTTTTAGGAACTCTTTAAAAAAAAAACTTTGTAAATTGTTTCCATAGGAACTGCTCGGAAAAGTAAAAGAATGGACAAAAGATTTTCACAAACTGAAAATTCGAAATAAAGTTAAACGCGTAGTTTTAAAACTTAACACCCCAAGTAAATTATTGAACTTATAGAATATTTATTACTTTTTATCTACTATTCATTTCCTTTTTTTTTTCCCTTACATATATTTCTTTCTTTGGATAATTTGGCAAGAACTTTCTCTACCGCTAAATGAATGGAACAATTTTTTTTTCTCTCTTCTTTTTCTTCTTAGACCATAATCCTTTATTTGACTAGACAGAGTATCGTGTCTTTTATTTTTCATCTTCTTATTGAACAAACTTTTTGGGGCCCAATTTTTTTGGCTTCTTCATATTGACGGCAAATACATACCAATAAAAAGATATTCCTTCCGTATTGATTGTCATAGTATAGGGAAAGTTCCATTGCAGAAAGTGAAAATATTTTTTCCTTATCTATCATAAATAGGGACAAATCTACTTTAATTCTGAGTGCAGGTATTGGATAAAAATATGTTTTATTTTTCTTTTAAGATATCACTGATTAGAAAAAAACACATTTATTTATTTAGAAGCGAATATTAACTTACATGTACTAATATTAGTTTTCTTCTTTTTAAAATTTTCATTGATGAACTATGAAAATTCATGTTGCAAATGATGTGGACATCTTACATTAAGAAGTTAATCCTCGTGCAAAGAATAGGTACATAGAGCATAAGTGCAGGATTACCTTCAACGATAGAAACCAGCTATGGTTAGCTTGATGTAACTTAGACTCCAAATCAGAGGCTGTCGGTCTCTGGAAATGAAGCATATATTGAAAACGCAATGGACAGGTAAATGTAAACTGTGTTCAAAACAATCATGAAAGTAAAATAATAATAAAATAATAATNACGTAGTGAACCTAATAAGTTTCGTAACAATGAAATTAAAATTTCTTTTCATTTATATTTTATGTGTTTTAAAATTTATGAAATGCCCTGGACACCTTAATAATAATTTTACTTTTTGCCTATTTCGTCATTTTTCGAAAACTTTTCTAGTGAATTGAAAAACTTTTGCACAAAATTATAAGTATTCTAAAATCTAAGAAAATTTACATGCAAAAATATCGCTTAGTATTTACTTATTATTTTATTTAATTACATTAAAAAAATTTTTATTGTATTGTATGCTATTTTTTATAACATTTCAAAGAATGAATTTTGCATAGCAAAGCGCATATTTCGAACACAGATCAAACAGTTCCTTTAAAATTTAATTTTAAAAAAAGTCGGAATTTAAAATTTCTTATTTTAATTGACAATTCGAGCGATTTTGGTCAAATGTTGTATTTTGCCACGTAAAACTACATTTTAAAAAAAAGTGTAAAAATTATTTACCTTATGATTCAAAATTGTTTCGACCATTATTAAATATAATAATAACAATAAATAAATAATAATAATAATAAACAAATAATAATAATAATAAAAAATAATAATAAATAATAATAACTTAGAATAACTGATGTAACTTAGACTCCAAATCAGAGGCTGTCGGCCACTGATTTGGATCAAGCATCTATTGAAAACGCAATGGACAGGTAAATGTAAACTATGCTCAAAACAATCATGAAAGTAAAATGATAATATTAATAAAATAATAATAATAATAAATAAATAAATAATAATAATAAAAAAATAAATAATATTAATAATAAATAATAATAATAATAATAACAATAATAAATAATAATAATACAATAATAATAATAATAAATAATGTGTGTGTGTGCGTGTGTGGTTCATACTGATTTATTTATTTAATTAAACTTGATAAAATCTTATCAAAGTTGAACCATATTTACCTCACGCTTAATTGATATTTGTTTTGCTTTGTCACAACATTCCCAGAAAATCAATTTAACATTAAACCATAATGCGGTGAAACTTTGTTGAAATCTTAATTCGGTGTTATTTGTCATACGCATTTCAGTTCAAAAATAAACCACAGTCATGAGACCGTCCAAATATTACGTAAGCACATAAGGGTTTGTGCTTTGCTTATTTTTTGCTGACAAGAAAGTAGAAGTGCCAATATCAATGCTTACGTAAGAAATTAACATAATCTTATTTTCAAATTTTTTTTTTTTAATTGAAAAGAAAAAAACGTTTTGAAAATTTAAAATGAAAGTTAAATTTCGGCAATAGTTGGAAAAAAATTGTCTGCAGTTATTGTCTTTTAAACATTTGTCTATAATTTATCTATTTTAATATTAGTTTTAATTAGATATTTTAATAATTGCTTATCGACAATATTTTCTCAGATAGATTGTTCTTTTAAAAAAAATCTGTCCTTTACCGTGCTTATAAAAATTTAATCTTTTGATTATTCGATTTTCTGAAAATAAACCAATGAATAGATAGTGCTTTTTCTCCACAAATTTGACTTTGGCTCGCTGAAAGAAAGCATAAAGTTAACTGAAAAAGTCTTTGGAACTTCTAACATAAAGTCTTTGGAACTTCTGTTTTAATTGACTCGCCAAACTTGAGTATGAACGGGAAGTAAATAGTTTTAATGTATAAATGATTATAATTTATGCATTTATTATTGAATTATTTTAATTGTCATTAAAATAATTACATTTGAAAATTAAATTTTGAATATATAATTTACTAATTATTTCCATTTTTATTAAGGATATTATTTAATGTAAATACTGTTTATTTATTTCATGTATGTCTAAAAAATGATAGTTTTAATTTATAAGACTAATCTTAATAAAAAAAAAATTAGAACAAAATATAAATAAGTAAAAATTGATATGATTTGTTAAACTTAGAATGAGATGAAAAAAATGTATAAAATAGAATATAAGTGTGTGTGAGGGGGGGGGAGTTTAAAAATATATAAAGGCCGGAATTAGGAGGCTGCATAATAATGTGTGATCAAAATATCGTTTGTTTTACTCCTTTTTAAGCAAAAATAAAAGTTAATTTTTGAAAAAAAAATTATGTTTATTGAATTGTTTGCTCTTATCCTCATAGTGAAGACATTTTTAGTTAGAATATATATCAAATATTTATTTTAAAATGTATATCAAATATAAGCTAACTTTCAAATTTTACTCAACCTGAAAAATACAACTGATACATAGCGATATGTGATAAACTTCACTTTCAAACAAAAATAAAATTATTTAAAATTTAAAGCTAAGAAAAAATTAAAAAATAAATAAAAACGCTGCTGTTTGTTGAACTGTTTGTTCTCTTTATTTTTAAGACATTTTTGTTACTTAAGAATTATTTTTGAGTTGCGTTAAAGGAAAGCATCGTACTCTCAGATTTCACAAAATACAACTGCTTACATAACAATATATGATCAAATATTCATTTTTTTTGCACTCACTTATACGAAAAAATAAAAGTTTAAAATTTGAATCCAGAAGAAAATTCCTAAATTTTGAAGTTCGTTGAACTGTTTGCACTTATTCTTATCCCCATAGTTAAAGCATTTTTAGTAACAAATTATTTTTAAATATTTATCAAATATAGGTCAAATCTCAAATTTTGCGCAGTTTTAAAAAATACAACTGCTACATAACAATATGAGATCAAAACGTTGTTGTACTCGCTTTTACGCAAAAACAAAAATTTAAAACAGCAAAACAATTCCGAAATTTCGTTTATAGAATTGTTATCGCCTATTTCTATCTTCCTTTTTTAGTTACAAAATATTCAAAATAATAGCTTATAAGTATTGCTTATATATTTTTCTTTAACATTAAGAAAAATAAAATAATCTTTAAAAAGAAACGAAATTCAGTCGCCATTAGAAAATTCTTGTTTTATTGAAGAAGATAAGAAACTTAAACTACGTTTCTCATTCGCCATCTATTGGATGCTGCCTCCACGTGCTGTGGACCAATGAGGTAGCTTTCAGATAGAAAGGCGGAGTTTAAACAGTGACGTTTGCATCGTCATCAGAAGGCGTGTTCCCAGGAGAATACAACTTTCTCATCTCTATGGCGTTTGTTAGATCAGCTATATTTACCCAGGGCTTCTCTGCTAAACTTTTAGTTTGAACTGTGCTGGCAGTGTGTACGTTCTAGGTTGACACGAAAAGCACTGAATGTGTACCAACCAACAATATGATAAGAGGTATTTGGACTATGTGACGTTTCTCGTGCTATGAAGATTATTTTTTGATGTTTTTTGTGACCAACTAATGGATATTTGAGCCGCGACGAATCAGATTATTTCAATACGCAATCGTTTAAACAGAAGTAAGTCAATATTTGAAATGAATTTTTGATTCGGACTTATTGACTCGAAGTTATCAGTTATTAATCTGATAAGTAAATAGATTTTACTGCTTACAACAAGATTCGAATTATTTTTTGTCATCGAACTTTTATTTGAAAAAAGAACCTTGTTTTGATAATTTTTGAATTTTTTTAAAAAAAAATATTCAATTATACTTCATGTTAACGCACAAGAGCTTTCCTGATTGCTCTACCATGCCTTCTGGTAATTACATGCCAGTGACATCCATGCCCATGTCCCTCAACTATTCGACTCCTCAATTTAATGCTGGACTTTTGTCACCACAAAATATGGCAGCTGTTGCCCCAGCGTGTATGACACAACCTATGCCGCCTATTGGCAGTATAACACCACTCAACAATGTTGCTCCAAATCGAACCGATATGCAAACTTATGTCAATACAGATTATCATTCTGACCCCAACTTGGCTCTGAAGGCTAGGAATGATAAGTTTAGAAGATCTCTTCCTCACGCCAAACCTCCATATTCCTACATATCGTTGATTACGATGGCAATTCAAAACAGTCCCCAGAAAATGCTGACCCTTAATGAGATTTATCAATTCATTGTGGACATTTTCCCTTTTTACCGCCAAAACCAACAAAGATGGCAGAATTCCATACGACACAGCCTAAGCTTCAACGATTGCTTCGTGAAAGTGGCTCGAACTCCGGATAAGCCAGGAAAAGGTAGCTTTTGGGCTCTGCATCCCGAATCTGGCGACATGTTCGAGAATGGTTGTTTTCTAAGGCGCCAAAAACGTTTCAAGTGTACGAAGAAAGAAGCTATCCGTCAGACTCAAAAGTGCCAAAAAAGTCCTGGAGATCAAGGTGTGAAGTCTGAACCCGAGATAAATTCTTCGCCAAAAATGGATCCAAAATCTTCACCTATGAAAGTTCCAGAGATGGAACAGCCATGCTTGCCGCCTGTAAACACATCGTTGCCCTCGACAACAGATGCCTATCAACAAATGTACCAAATCCAATCATTCAACGCCAACAGCAATGCAACTAATAGTTCCAGAAACAGACTAGACTGTTACAAGCAAGAAATGCTTTATTCTTCGCACAGGTATCCAGAATCCTGCTCCGTATCCGATCCAGGAATGGATCACAATGCTTACCAGGACATTATGAAGGACTTGTTCTTCCTGCAGCAACCAAACTACAAACTAGAACCAGGTTTTAATGCTACTAGTCATCCTTTTTCAATAAATAATATAATTTCGAACCCTGATCCAAAAATGGATTCCAAATTCTTTGAAATGACAGTGCCTCATTATAGTAACTATGGTTCTAGCATGCCAACTAGTGACAATATGGCATACTATTCCCCATCTTTCTATTCTGTGCCCCAACCTGTTACTTCCGATGTGTGAATCAGCCATTTCTGTCCGATTTATAAGTACTTAAAAGCAATGGACTTGCTTTCTAGAGAAAAGATGTTTTGATAGATGATTTCTCCGTGTTGTTTCATTCAGGCGAGGATGCAAACAGTTTACCCTGATGTGATGAAAGCAAAAGGAAGATCATTGGTGACGATAATCGAAGTAAATATGTTCCTACTACCATTTAGTGAAACCAACAGCATTTTGTGTATCTAGTTAAGACGATACTGTCGTGTTACCAAGCATAGACTCAAGTGTCTGTAGATTCCATCAAGTAATGACTCAAAAACGTTAACAGTAGAAAAAAGTGTTTTTACACGTCTGTGAGACTGAAATTTCTTACCTTGTTATTTTCTTCAGCAGCTGTTAAAAATGAAATTGTAGATTTGTGTATAAAAGTTAGCTTCTGGGTATGTAAGTATACGATTGTTTTGTAAAGCTCAAAAATTTTACGTCTTTATATGCAATGAAATTGTTTAATTCCATGAATACATATATTTAAAAATAAATTTGTGTCTAATTTCTCCAAAATGTTAATGAGACCATATAAACCATGTTTTTATTTTTAAGCTTATTAGTTAAGCTTGTTAGTTAAGCTTATTATGACTCGTATTTTCTAAGTACGTTATTTAAATTTTTACCTTTAAAAATTTCTTTTTAAAAGTAATACATCATTTTCCTTTCAGCAAAAAATGAGTGAAAATATTTTTTAATTTTTTTTAGCAATTCTAAGTTCTTAAGTCAATTTTGGAATCATTAATGATTCCAATGTATGATATTTAAATACTTTTTTACTTTAATATTCTAGTGTAAAAGTTGTGCAGCATTTCATTTCAATAACTGAAATTTAAAATTTATTTTTAAAATTTTATTTTAAAATCAATATCAATTAAGCATTGATTTCTTTTTTGTTTAATTTGTAATTCATTGCATTTCAAGTTTTTTAATAACTATGCATATTTTTCTTCTCAAATTAATTTCATTAGTTAGGAAACCTATGTGTTTAATATTTAAGTTTTTTTTTTTAAATTACTTTATTCAGATAATTTATGCTAAATTTTATAATGATTATAAAATTTAATGAAAAAAGCTATTTAAAAGATTTTAAGTCCACTTGGTACTTTTATTTTTTACTCAATTCAAGTTATTAATGATTTCAATTTATTTTAGTATTCCTTTTTTCATAAATATTTTGTAAAAATTTACATTGAAAATAGAATTTTGACAAAAAAAATTTATTTTAGGATATTTTATGGAAATACTATTATTTCCAAGTGAATTTTTACTTTATGTTTTAGTAAAGTTTCATCCATAAATATTGTTCACGATTTTGTTATAACTTGATTGTATTTCTTTTAATTCTAAAAATAATCAAAAATGTTCTTTTACAAGCATAAACTTATTTTTATTCTAGTTTTGGTTTTATAATGACTGTATCCAGTATATGAGCAATTCCAATAAATTGTTTTTGGAAGAATTGAATTTCATAGTTTTAAACAATACATTAAGAATATTTTACTTTTTCAATAAGGACTTTTAGTAAGTTTTGTATAATAATACAAATTTAAAATATTGTGACATTAATACTTGCATTGATTACTAAAATTGCAAATAAAGATAGATTTTATAAAGTTTGAATTACGTTACTTTTATTGTATGCATGCAAAACTAACAACTTATTTTTATTACTTTTACTTATGAATAATATTTGTGTAAGAACACACATATAATAATATTTTATTCTCTCGTTTCGTATTAGATTTTACAATATATCTCGTTAAATATATTTGTTGAATCCGTCAAAAATTAAAAATGAAAACGGTAAAATACATTTTATGATTATAATTTTTATTTTTTAAAAAGCTTTCTAATTTAATTTAATCTATTGTGGCTTAAAATTCATTAAATAAAAGAAATACAATTTAATCAACACATTTGTCCTTACGTTTTAAGCTATTTATAAGTATTGAAAAAAAAAAAAAAGCTGTAAAGAAACGAGCTTTTATTTAATTTAAATATTTTTTTCATTATATGTGATTGTTTCTTATACGTAGTATATTGATGTGCAAATATAAAATGACTATTAATAGCTTTTTCTCAAACAATTGTATTACACTTAGGCACATAAATTTTTTTTAAAAAATTAAATGGTTCTTTGCAAAAAGACACTTTTTAAATGCTCCTAAATTTTTATTCTCATGTAAGTTCTATTCAATCGTAAACTATTTGCGAACTTTAGAATTATATTTTATTACAACTATTTTTTTTAAAATTAAAACCGGCATTAAATTAAAAAGATTCCTTTTGTGGAGAACTTTTTAATGTAACTACCCGCTTTTGCATTTTATGGTTAAAGACATGAAAACCTACTGCGGTTAGCCAGATAGTAAGAGGACAAATTCATTATTCAACTACCGCTGGGGATATTTTTCCTCAGAGCAGTGGTTGGTGCTAGCCGAGGGCAAAAAATGAACTGATTTAACTGTAAGTTTTGAACTTAGTTCACATCCCTGGGGGGGGGGGTGACCACTCTATCCTCCAAACAATTCCAGCTGTTTTTGTTGCAAATATGACAATTACAATTTTATGAATATATAATACAATAATAACAATTTTATAAAAAAAATATAGTAAAGACTGCATTAAATTTTTTCATTACTTAAAAACTAATTATGGACTACAGAATACATCTATGTATAGTTTTCGACAACTACACTGTAAAAAGTTCCGAAGCAAATTATGGTAAAAAATGCCGACACTCAATGTGTTAGTACATTTTACCGTAAAGTTTTACGGAACAAAAAATATGATATACCGTAATTTTTACAGTAATGTTTAGTAATTACTGTAAATCAATGACTCTCTGCAATTAACTAAATATTACTGTAAAAAATTATAGTGTAAAGTTTTACGGATGCTGCACTCAGGATGCCAGTACTTTTTACCGTAATTTGACTCGGACTTTTATCGTACTTTTTACGAATGATAATGCTTCTATGGTTATTCCTCAATAGTTAGCTAAAGCAAAAGTTTTTAAATTCGGGAACGTAATTTTTACAAGATGTTTCGTAATCACCGCTCCTAATATCTACGTATTTTTCAGATATCCTATTAAATTATATTACTGACTATACACATTAGGGTTCTCACTTTAGTATTTAAAAGCTGAGGACCTATAAAATTTTTCAAAATCTGACCGATTGGAGTTTAGGTTAATAAAGCGCTAACGGATTAAAATAATCAAAGATCAGTTTATCTAATCACTTAAAAATTATGTCTGTAGATCAAGGAGGGGCGGGGGGGGGAGAATGGTTTACATCCATTTTTCACAAAAATGACAGCTGGATCGCCATGTGTTGCTTTATGAGGATTACTAAATTTTAACAAATAACGTGAAAAATCAGTAATCCCCGAGAGTTATTAATCAGTGAAGAAGATCCGTACTGTGAAAATACCATCCGAGTCAGTTTTTGCGGATATAAAACATGCCTCCCCAGTGGTATTCATTTCTGAAAGGCCAATTCATTCCAGCCCCACCAGGTATAAAAACTGGTTTTTGATTATTTTTAACCCAGCTTTGCTTCAGACATCAATCATGTTTCGTCAAAGTTGAGAAACGTTCCCCCCTCACTTAAATGTAAGTTGGCGATCCCTAATTCGAAAAATGATTTGACTTTATTTTTCATAAGACTCTAAATTTTCAGGGTGCTTTGCAAGGACCGTCCATAATATACTATTTTAAGATTACTTGACAAAAAGTCAAAAATGTCGACACATTAATTTACTAAGTATACACATTAGTTTAAATTAATGTTTAATCGAAGGAAAAAAAAAACGATTGAAATCTGACTGGAAGGGAAAGTGGGCACACAAAATATCAAAACCAGTTTGATTGTCTGATGAAATTTCGATGCGTTTCTATAAGGATAGGCTTTCAGTTCCTCGGTTTTCTTTAGCAACCAAACACATTTTAAAATTTAAAGTTTCGACTTCCACTGCATTAATTCGTTATATTTCACTAGTGCATTCGTCTTTTCTGGAAAAACGATTCTTAATGTGCATACTTTCGTGACTTTTTTTTTTAACAAGGATTTTGAAGTTATATATTCAGGGTGATCATTATGGAGCACCTAGTACAGAATGGAGCACCATATTTAATGCGGAACACAATATCGAAGAAAGAACATTATATTTAGTGCTTTTTAAAACCTAGCACAGTTTTTTTTCGTCCGAAATTTTTTAAATATATGTAATTTTAAATTAATTCTGTTGTTTTAATATTTAAAAGAAATAGTAAATGTAAACAATGATTCAAGGTTTTTTAAAACATATAGTTATGGAAAGATTATAACTTATACTTTTTTAAAATATTGAAGTTGCTGACATGTTTTGTGCTTTTAAAATAGGATTGATTGAGTCAAATTTCTGATTTTGTTTTGAAACATATCTTAAACTAATTTTATTTTCTTTAAACTTAAAAACGTCAATTTTTGCATCAAAGACAAGAGTTTAGAGTTTCAAAATTCAATAATCAGATAAATTTATGATTAAAAAAAAATTTATTTAGTAAGAAGAAGAAGAAAGGAGATAAAATGATGACGGATTACAAGTTTGCTGTAAAAAGTGGGATAATGTGATTAAATAATGCAAAATTAAGCTCTCTTTTGACGTAGTTTCTTCTCTTACTAATATCCCTATTTCTAGTAATCGATTACTTGAAATTACAGGTAAGGCTCGACTACGGTGAACTTAGGGCTAGGGTCTGAACTTTGGTTTAGTGCCCTTCAAAATTGCCAGATTCAAATTTTCAAATCTAAAAATGTTTCAATTAAGAAAAATTCTCACTTTAAAAAAAAAAAAATTCCAATATGTCAACAAGAGCCGTGGTGGCTCAGAAGATAGAGCATTTGGCTTCTAATGAGGTGAGCCGGGTTCGAATCCCAGCGATGGATGGTTGATACGAATTCCGTACCTGACTCATATCAATCACAGTGCTTACGTAAAGTATCCTCATTGGTAGACGGATCATGTGTTAGAGTCCCCTTGCC